GGGCACCGGCGAGCTCGGGCGTGAGGGGGACAGCCCGGGGACCAAAATGATCCAAAATGATCCAAAACGGCTGAGGAGCGGGGCCGGGGCAAGCCGGCCGGCCTCTCGGTGCCCCGGTACTCTGCTCTGCGGGGCCTCACCTGCAGCGCTGCGCCCTGCTCTGGGGCCCGCAGCACAGGAAGGACGCGGACCTGCTGGAGAGGGTCCAGAGGAGGCCACAAAAATGACCCGAGGGCTGGAGCACCTCTCCTGTGAGGGCTGAGAGAGTTGGGGTTCAGCCTGGAGAAGGCTGTGGGGAGACCTTATTGTGGCCTTTCAGTACTTAAAGGGGGCCTGTAGGAAGGATGGGGACAGACTTTTTAGCAAGGCCTGTTGTGACAGGACAAGGAATAATGGATTTAAACTAAAGAAGAATAGATTTAGACTAGACATAAGAAAGAAATTGTTTACAATGAGGGTGGTGAAGCACTGGCACAGGTTGCCCAGAGAGGCAGTGGAGGCCTCATCCCTGGCAACATTCAAGGTCAGGCTGGACGGGGCTCTGAGCACCCTGATCTGGTTAAAGCTGTCCCTGCTCACTGCAGGGGGGTCAGGCTAGATGATCTCTAAAGGTCCCTTCCAACCCAAAGCATTCCATGATTCTATGATGGCCCCAGTGGGTCTCCTGCAGCCCCTCATGCCCGGGCCAGAGCGCAGAGCACCTGCGAGGAGCATCCCTGGAGTGCTGCCCGCCTCCCCAGGGAGGGGTCCCGGACTTTGTGTTCTCCCGCTGTTGACAAAGAGATAGGAGAAGTAACCTTCAAAGTGATCCCAACCCTGTCCCCTGCAGGCTTCAACAGGGTGGAAAGAGGCGACAGGGACAACCCTGGGCTCCCATGCAGGAAGCAGTGCTGGGGGGCAGAGCTGGAGGTGCTCAGTCACAGGACCGAATTTTTCCCCCCTTTCCCTCCCCCAGCTCAAACCCACCTTCACGGGGTGGGCTGGGCCGTGTCCGGCAGGCGAGGGGCTGGGGAGCGAGGGGTTCCTCACTGGGAGAAGCGGCAGCAGCAAGACACAGGCAAGGGAAAACAGGGAGATGGAGGACCCGGCCTCAGGGAGGGCGCAGCGACAGGCAAGTGGGGTGGGCACGCAGCCCAGCATGGTCAGGCAGCTTCCCCAAGAGCTGGAAACAAACCTCCAGCCGGAGCCTTGCCTCTGGACCACCCCCCAGCTCCAGCCACGCAGCGGGTTGAACAACAGCCAGGCTCAGCCCAAGACCCATGGCACACAGGGTGCCCACAAGCCACCAGCATCACCCCCTGGCAGGATGGGAGACGATGGGACACACTGCTGTCTGGTAAGGGGAGTTCAACGTACATGCAAGAAGGATAAGAGTGCCCCAAATCTGCCCTCCTTTTACTGGAGCTACCCCAGGCGGGGTAAAGCAGCCCGCAGCACAGCAGGGCCAGCACAAGACTGGGCATGCCCGCCCCAGCCAGGCTGTCTCTGGCGCTTCCCTGCCTGTCCCCACCGGCAGGACACGGCCCACGGAGAGCCCAGGGCAGGACCTTCCCCAGCACAGCCTCGGGCACTGCCAGGGCCATGCAGCGGAAACCATCCCGGCAGGCCTGCGGCACCCCCTCAGCACGGGCAGAGGACAGGGACCGAGACCTCGCGGACCTTTATTGAGGGTGATCCCGCTCGTTGTGGTCTGGGGGAGCTGCCAGGGCACCACACCTTGGGGCAGCAGCTGCTGCCAGGAGAGGACACTGCACGGGGGGAAGGCCGGGGTGCCACCATGCCTGCCTGCTCAGCCCCAGCCCAGCTGGCCTGCGGAGCCTTCTCCCAGGGCAGGAGCCCAGCCAGCGGCTGACAGCTGTGCTGGGAGCCGCACCCATCAGCAATGGAGCCGAACCCTTCCTTGTGACCCAGGGGGTCTCCTTGCCAACCCCTCAGCTGGGTGACTGCAGGAGGGCACACAGAGGGCAGCAGTGGCACTGTCCCTGCATCCTCTACGTGCCCAGCCTCACAGGGGTCCCTCTTCAGAAAGGTAAGAGCCCACCAGCACCATGATTAGTCCTTCCAGCAGGCAAATGGAGAATGCAAGCCTGCGTTTTCCAAGCTCGGTCTCATTTCTTTCCTCTCAGTCTTGAATCCAATTAAAAAAACCCCCACAAACCGTATGTAAACATTTAAAAAAAAAACCCAGATGGAACAAACTACTGGACACAGCAAGAGCAGAGGGGAAGGGTTACCCAGAGGCTGAGCAGTGGGCAGGGGTCAGGGCTCGACTCGCACTCTGGCAGTTCCAGCTGCCGGACCCCCACAGCTCCCCTAGCCAGCACGGGCTGAAGCACAGCTGGAACAGGCAGCCCCAGCTGGGGAGCAGGTCCCTCACAGCCAGGGCTCTGGTCCCTCTCTCGATGAGCCCCGGAGGTCAGTTTTGCTTCCCTTTGGTCAGTAAGTTGTAAACTGCAGAAGGCTTTGTCTCTGCAGGAAGGAATGTGGGAGAGCACAGCCAGCTCAGTGCTGAGCGCTCTGGAGGAGGCGCTGCCTGGTGCTGCAGGCAAAGTCTTTTCCTGGCTACGATGCCACAGGGTGGGTGCTTTCTCCTTAACTCTCTCAGCTGGGCCTTCAGTCCGATTTCTTGGCAGGTTTCCTGCTTTTCCACATCACAACCATTATAAAAACGCCTACCACGAGAGAGAGAACAGATTCAGCCAGAAAACTTCCAATTACAGGCACTCCTAAAACACATTGTAGTGAGAAACAGAACCTCAGCAGAGCAAGTGAGAAACAATTCCGCTGTCCAGAGACTCAAACAGCCAAAGTTACACAGGCACACAGAGGCCCTGAGAGCCCGTGCCAGGCTGAGCTATGTCAGGAGCCACAGAGAGCGCGTCACAAGTCTCACATGCTAGCTAACCCCCCCAGCAACCCTCTTCTCTTCCTAATTTCGAAGCTTCTAATTAGAACAACAGAAGTAACACTCACCTATAAATAGCAGCAGCAGCAGCCCGGCCACCACGGGGATGATAACCGCATACTCCCTAGGCAAGAAGTACTGGTGGATCCCATGGTCGCTGTCGATGAAGGGCTGCAGGAGACAGAGAGGGGTGTCAGCAGGTGGGCACAACACCCGGGCAAGTCCCCGACACCTGCAGCCTCGTGTTTTCGAAAGCAGGATGGAAATATGAGGCGTGAGGAGACAGCTAAAAAAAAAGGTGCCCAGACCTGCAGGTGGCTCAGCCCACAGCTGCAGGGACGTGATAGTGGGCGGGCAGTGAAGGCTTCGGTGTTCAGCAGACAACGAGGGGTGGCTACATGAGGCCGGCACAGGGGTCCCACAGCCCCAGGGTGGGCACAGCTGCCCACCAGCTTGGTGCAGAACACAGCAAATCCCCAGATTCTCTCCCCTGCCGAAGGGAGCGGCTGATACCGGCTCTGCTTCATGGTGATCCCACCAGGATCCCTCCGCGGAGGCCAGTGGAAGGCTTTGGACACTAGAGAGCAGTGTAAGGATTCCGACACAGCAGCGAGCACACCTATGCACTCCCAGGACTACGGGCTGTATAAACACGTATTGGACAGCAGAGTAAGCAGACACGAGAGAGTAATTCAAAAATCTCAGAGGTTGGAGGGGGAGCTGCCAGGAGTTCAGGCATCAGCCCAAGGCTGAACCAGGCCTCTCGTACCTGGAAAGCTTATGAGGAGATGTTTCTTTCCAGGAAGAAAACCACTAATGACCCCAGCTGGTATGTCCCTAGAAGTGGGCAAACTACCAGGCTCACAATCACTTTTCCAGAACTCTGCATTCCCTAAACTCTTCCCCTCCCTACCAGGCTCCAGATTTGGAAAGAGTTGTCTCTTTTTATGTTTTCCTCTGTGGTCTCCCACCAGAACCAGGAATCTGGAGGACTGCAAACATGAACACCAATGACAACACCCCCAGAGGGACCAGGCTTCAGGTCTTACTGACAGCTCGAGAGAGCCTCAGATCTTACACCAGCTGGATCAGCTTGTCCAAGAGCAGCAGGGCAGGCGGCACAATTGAAGCTTGGTCTTTCCCAGGCAAGGGCAGGCTTGCCCAGAAGGGGCAAGGGCTGTGCCAGCAAATAGAGGAAGCTGTGAGCTGAAATTTTTAACCAGGAAGCTGGCAAGGCAGAGTCTTTCAGGCACACAGACACATCAGCACCTAAACAAATCCTAGGCTAACACCCAAGTGTGAAATGACTGGGATTGTAATGGCCAGAGGAGACCCGTACCAGTACAATGATCCAGAGAGTGTAGTAAACAAAGAGAACGAGGCTGAAGGCAACCAAGCCGAATCCAACCACCTGGTCTGTCGCTGTGGCCTGCAAAGGGAGAGAGAGTCAGAGCAGGATCCGCATGCCGTGGCATCTCTGCAGGAGTGGTTAACAGGCACCTGCTGCTTGTTCAGCCCCAGGCTGTGTGAATGCACTGCTGCGGGTCTGAAGCAAAAAGGGGAGGGGAGGCCCTGTGCAGCAGAAATAACCCACCGCGAGGGCAGCAGGGAGAACGGCCGGGCCCTGCTGCTGGGAGCGCTCCCGGAGCTCAATGCCCGGCCACCGCCCGCGCCAGTTCGCACCCCCGCAGCTCTGGCCC